GCGGGCCTAAGCCATCAGTCCGACATCCTACGAGGGCTTCCGGATTGTGAGAGGGTGCAGGCCGGGCTGAGGGACAACCCCGAGTGCACGGGTTTTGTGCATGGGGCCTCTAGTTATCATATAAAACCACAGTCACTTTAATCTAACGTGGTTTGTTATGAAGACCTTTGTCTGGAATACTTTGGAAAACACCACACATATTTGCCAATCTTTACTATTTATCTATGAAATTGCAAGCCAACAACTCGGGCCTCCAGCAACCTAGTGAGTACTATTTTAACTCTCGGACATTTAAGCTCCTTATCTTACACAGGTGTAGGCACACAAGGACCATGGTGCTATGCCAGGCTGATTCTTTTTCCAGAAGGGAAAACTGGGGTTCAGAAAGCAAACATAGCCTGCCTTGATCCCACAGAGAGTGACTGCTCACCTTGATCATTATTTACTTAAACAGCCAAATCACTGCCACCTTCACAGCCAACACTCATTAGGTGCTCACTACATGCCGAACACCATGCTGGGCCCGGTGCATGGACGGGACCCTCACCATCATGAGTGAGCAAGGACTGCTGCTCTCCTGTTTACAGACCAAGAATCTGGAGCTCAGAGAAATGCGGGCGCTTGCCCCAGTCACACTGCTGGGAGCGGTGGTGCCCAGATACCCACTCTGCCACATCCCGGAGCCTGCTACACTCTTTGCCATCACACCACTCTCCCTCCCACCCTACTTACACTGGACGTCTATAGCCGAGGCCGCCATGACCCATCACTCGCGCACAATGAGGCTCCCATACAATTGAATATCTTTAATTTCCCCTTAGCAACAAATGTCCCTGATGAGAATAACCGACTCGAGTTCACAGTAATTATGTGCAGACAATTGGGAATGAATAGAGTTGCCATTTGAAAAGCTTTCCTCTCCCTTTGTCTCTGCGGGTGCACCCCCATGCATAACCGGGTGCCAGCAAGCCCCTTCGCTTTGTGCAACTTTGCCCAAATGATACCTTTGTGATACTCAGCAGAAATCGCTTCCACAGTCCCCTCATTAAGGAAATGAAGCAGATGAACAGTGTAATTATGGATTCCATTTTTAGCGGAACAAAGATGTACGTTTCTCAGCTCAGGGTCTTTAGCTAGGGAGGGAATGGTACGTTCAAAATGAAGAGACCTTGTCAGTCAATGTAGTTATGTGCTCAGAACCCTTCTCTCCTTACGCGGAGTCTAAGAATTACATTTAACAAAGATATCCATATGATAGCAGCTCCACAGTGGAGTTTATTCACCCTCATTTGATTTGGTTTCTTCAGCTCTAAAATGGAAGTCACAGCCATGCCCAGCAGAGGGCTTTAAGCCTGAATGAGACAGTTCATGAGGAGCAGCCAAGGTGGCCAGGGGGCTAGCTCCACTGACTGGCGGAGGTGGCAGGTCTTGGGTGAGGTCTGAGCCCACTCTCTCTTAGCTGTCTGACTTGGGTGCCTCAGAAAGGCTCAGGGACAGATCTGGCAGCTCCCACCTCTCAGCTGAAGTGTCTGAAAGTAACCTGGTGCCAGTATTCTGCAAATGGAACAGAACTACACATGAGCACAACATGCATCCTCAGTGTGATTATTGGACAAGGACTTTATCTAGAGTTTGTGGGGAAAGGTCTCATGGTGCGGCAATGCAGGGAGGTAACTTGGAATTATTTATTAAGGAGCTTTTTATAAAGCTTCCTGAAACAGATGCAGAGAGCTGAAACGCTGCCCACTGTTGGTACTGCTGCACAGAGAAGCAGGGGAGAGGGGAGGTGAGATTTCAGACAGGGAACCTGCACACGTTACTGTAAGCATCAAGAGTTCAAAGCCCACCGCCCCCTACCCTACACCCCACCCCTGGGTCTTCGCTAGGGTTTCTCAACAGTGGCAGCACAGTAGTCCCCCCTTATCTGCGATTTCAGTGACCTGTGGTCAACCACAGTCCGAAGATATTAAATGAAAAATTCCAGAAATAAACAACTTGTGAGTTTTAACTTGCTCAGCATTCTGAGCAGTGTGACGAAATCTCACACCGCTCCATTTCCTCTCCCTTGAGACAGGAATCACCCCTTTGTCAGGTGTGTCCATGCTGTATATGCTACAGCCCATCAGCCATTTAGTAGCCATCTTGGTTATCAGGGAGAGAGACCGCATTCACATAACTTTTATTATAGTACATTGTTATAATTATTCTACCTTATTGTTAGCTATTGTTATTAATCTCTTAATGTGCCTAATTTATGAATACATAGATATGTATGTATAGGAAAAACATAGGATATATAGGGTTTGGAACTATCCATGCTTTCAGTAATCCATTGGGGGTCCAGAATATATCCTTTACAGATAAGGGGATACTGCTCTATTGACATTTTCAATAATTCTTTGTTGTCAGCAGTTGTGTGCTGTAGAATGCTTAGCGGCATCCCTGACCTCTACCCACTAGATGTCAGTAGCACCCCCATCCCCAGTTGCCACAACCAAAAATGTCTCCCGATGCTGCAATGACCTGTGGGAGGCGAAATCCCTCCCAAATGACTGGTACTCAGCAGAGACTCAAAAACTAATCGTCAGATTTGAAGGACCAGACCAGAGCCTGGGCTGATGCCTGTGGTGGCAGGTGTGGGGCAGGAAATCGCGCCAGGGGAGGATGGGGAAGTGGGAATGGAGGCTGGCATGAGGAAGGAACACATCTTCCTCCTCACCTTGAAGCCCCACAGCAGGCAGGCACACGGTGTGAGGAGGCGCGCCAAAAATAAACCACAGAAGACAACAGCCAGTTGCCCTCAGCACTGAGCACACTCCTTAGCCAGGCCCCTTGGCCAAAACGCTCACCACCCCCCAGAACATGAGGACCACCCGTCGCCCACGCCCACCTGCCATTCTTGCACACACCACCCTTTCATTTATCTCCCACAACCACATCCTGTCTCCTGTTGTCTGTTGGCCAACGGGGAAATCAAAGCCTAAAGAGACCACGTGATTCACCCAGAACTTCACAGCCAGCGAGTGGCACAGGAAGGTGCCTGACTCGGAAACCACAGCCCCTGCACTCGGGTGAAGCCGCCTCCAGAGCCAGGGCTGGTGGGGAAGCTGGTGGTCTGTCTCTAGGCTCCAGTGCGCCAGAGATTGCAGCCCTTTAACTAACTTGCACCCGTTCTCTTAGCTTCCATTGATATGCCTTTTCTCTCTTTTAATCTCATTTTTCTTTATTTTTACCACAAGTAGTAAAATTGTGGGAAAGCTAGTCAAATGTGAAAATAAAATTAAAAAAAAAAAGATAACAAGCACCCATTTAGTAGGTTTCTTCTCATCTCTCTTTCCCAAATCATATGCCATATTCTTTAAATGAGAAAAATGTAGGTACATTTTTCTTTGGGGGTGCATGAGTCTCCTTTTAATTCATATCTTGGTCTCTGTTCATTGGCTCGCCATTGGCATCCTGATTGTTGGTCCTATTTAATGCTACACTCTCCTTTCCCACCACTGAATGCTATGGGGGGTGGGGGGGTATATACAGTTTTTCTATATTATTTTTTTCTTGTTATATTTATTAATTTCATGAGCATTTTCAAACCTGGTAAAATTTTCAGGAGCAGGATCTTTTAAAAAGGTTTTTATGCCTTCCTGTGAACGAGTTGTAATTTAGCTTACAATGTCCCATAGCCCTAGCCGGTTTGGCTCAGTGGATAGAGTGTCCACCCTCAGATTGAAGATTTCCAGGTACAATTCTAATTAAAGGCACATGCCTTGGTTGCAGGCTCTATCCGTGGCCTTGGTCAGGGCCTGTGCGGGAGGCAACCAATTGACATGTCTCTCCCGTCCCTTTCATTCCCTCTAAAAATCAATGGAAAAATAGCCTCCAATGAGGATTAACAACAACAAAAAAGGTCCCTATTGTTCATCATGTAAAGAGTTGCTGGTATTTGTAGTACAAATTCCCTGCTGATGATCATCCTACATAGAATCCTTGGTTCCCATCTCAGTTGATTTCCTTAAGGCTAGGTCTGTAGAAGTGGAACTATGGGCACTCGCTGTCATTCGAAGATGGTACCAACCCGGCAGGAAGGGGCAAGGACCAAGCCCATGCCCAAAGTGTCATCAGACAGCGTGTGTGGATGAAGGCAGAGCATCTGGGCCCGGTCCATGCGGCTGTCAGCTTCCCAGGACAGAGCCGACCTGAACACACTTGGGTCACGTTCACTGTTATCCATGCTGGTGTATCCATGCATCGAACTCTGCATATGTTGCTGCATCTCATACTCTAACAAGAACTTAGCGAGTTTCTGAATTTAGGAAAAATGGGCCTAAGTATAATTTACAAAGCTATGATGACAGTGACTATAATGGTCATACCTGGCCAAAAATAAAAAAATAAAAGGGGGGGGGGTATGTAGTAAGAAAAGACTGAACACCAACTACGTATCTTTCTTACTGTGAGAAAACTGAGCCTTGCCCAGATCAGCTAGCTTGTCAAATGTCAATCTTGGAGCCAGGACTCAAGTGCATACCGACCTAACTCCATAACTCATGACTATAAGAGCTTCTACTAATTACCACTCAAACCATTGAAGGTTTGGGGGCAGGAAAAGTATTATGATTAGATTTCTATTTTATGAAGGTAACTGAAACAAAACAGAGCAGTTATCTCTCCATTCAGCCTGAGAAGGCACTGTGTCTGTCTCCCTCAGATTTCAGCACTGCCCAGCAGCTTCCTGATGACGTCACCTTGTAATGTATGACCTCTAAGCCTTAGTAAAGGACACAGGTCAGAGTGCATATTCAACATGGGCTGAATGAGGGTTGTGGAATTTTTGTCAGATTGGATGGCACTGCACTTAGCACAAAGGGTGCCTTTGCTGACAGAGCTCCAAACTCATCAGTTTGTCCTGAGTAGTTTCATGCGAGCACTCCCTGATGAAAGGCAGCCAGTGAACCCAGGGTTCATCACTCTGAGCTGGGAAGCCGATGCCAGTGGCTGCTTACCTTTAGCTGTCAGATCCGAGTGCCACCAACTGCAGAGGTTAAATTCCACCAGGAACCTAGAAGTGACAGAGAGGCCCAATGTTACTTGGCCATCCACACCCTGAATGGAAGCGTGACATGCATTTCCCAGCACTGCTCACCTGCTTGGAAAGAGGGGCATCGCAATCTGGAGATAGCAATATGGCTGGTTCAGTGACCGCCTCCCTTCCACTGGCTTTACCTCGTATGTGAAAGGCTATTTTATCACCAATGCCAACCAAACCCTGGAGTCAGGTTTTCCTAGACTCGAGGACTGTGCTGAGAAATATTCTGCTTCCTCGGCGAAAGAGTTTCTAGTTGTAGTCTGAGTCCATATAAAAAGTCAACTTCTAAAGGGCTCCCCCTGCCCGGGTTCAGAAATACAAATAAAATATTCCATAACAGACTATGACCTGCAGCAATAAAGGAAGCTTTCAAAATTTATACTTCAATGAAAGCTTGTTCAGCCAGGTGTGTGACGTGTGATATGTGTGTGTGTGTGTGTGTGTGTGTGTGTGTGTGTGTGTGTGTGTAGGGACAGATGGGACAAATTTCTCTTTATGAAATTAGACCACAATACACATTTTAAAAAATTGAAATTTCTCAAATGCTCATAAAGAATGCAAAAGTAATATAAATCCTCCTCCGAAATGAATGGATACAGACCATTTCTTTTTCAGGCACATGGCTAGTATCTCCAGCAACTTACTCTCAATAAAAGTCCCACTGGTATCTGTTATGGCATTTTCTGTCTCCTATGTACATGCAGAGCTTACTCCCCACTTGAATTTATAAATTGTTAAATGAATGTAGGTTACATGAAAGCAAGAGAGAAGACAATGTCTGTTCACCAAATGGCAAGAAGTCTGCCTAAGCCCACAGAGCTGGAACCCTAATGAGGAAAATGAGAATGGGAGAGTTTGGTGCAGCTTTGAGGATCTGGCCTCCATGCCATCCATGGAATCCCTCCTCCTGTTAGATGCAGTGTTTCTGTAATGTGTCCATCATCTCATCTGGAAGTCAAGTCATTCACCTCTGTGCCATTTCACTCTGACCTGGGTCACCGATGCATCCAGCACCCTCCAAACAGGATGGCAATTTGACAGGGTCAACAATGAAATCACACCTGAGAAAAGCCCCCAGCCTGTGGCCCCTGATTGCACTGGCCCCACCCTTGTACGTGGCAAGACATCCGAGTAGCACAGTGGACAGCCCTGGCAATTTGTTCTTCAGACCACAGCCCACCCAGGCTGCGTTAACAGCAGCCAGACATCTATGTTAAATTTAACAGTGACCACAATAAATAAATTTGGTTTGTGTATTGCAAGCTGTTAGTCTGCTAAACAATGATATAAGGGCATAAGCAGTGACCATGAATAACTTAATACAAGATAATTTTTGGTCTCAGCTTTCGGTACTTCGAAGTTTTCAATGCGATTATCTCAAAGTATTATGAATCTAACGGTTATTGAAAGCATGAAGTAGAGTCTCCCAATTCACTTAATAATACACAAGAAAAGCAGTCATATTCTTTTAAATGTAGCAATTGTACTTACAAGACAAGTTCTGTCATTATCCATTTTACTGCAGCAAGGAAAGCATTATAAGGCTAAAGAGAAGAATGCAGGTCATTCCAAAAAAAAAGTGTATCACACATAAAATTTGTAGTTTAACCTAAGGCTTTACATTAAGACAATGTTATTCTTTGAGAGAGATTGATATTATATCAGGTTAAGAACCAGTGGTGCTCTAGCTAATAAAAAAAAGAAAGAAAGAAAATAGTATCCCAAAACTAACATTTTAAAACTTTGAACTCTCCTGTAGTGAGAGGTGATTTACAAGTAAAATAAACGTGATCTAATACAGGGGTTATCTTTGGGAGGAAGAAGGAAGTTCAGCAAAGGATGCCTAAACCTTTACCCTCTAGGGACTAATATTGCACAGCCTAATGCTGAGGTGCTGGGATCACAGAACTAATTTCAAATTTATGCGGCTGCTTCTCAGAAAAATGATTCCCCGCTCGCCATCACTGTGTGTCATTCGTGGAAACAAGGAAAAATTGCATATAGTTGACTTTAATGCTGCCCATGATTTATGTAGGATTTAAGCTGCCTTTTCTCACACTTACATATTTGGACTTGAAAAAAAAGATAACCATATAAACATGTGATTTTATCCTTGCAGAAAATCCCCTTCCCTCTATAAAAGAAGGCATTGACAGCCTAATCTTTATTTCAGAATATTTTAATTAAAAAAAGCAGTTGGGTTGTTTACTCTGTGAAATTTCCTATGTGGATAATTCAATTTCCTGGATTCTGGAAAGTACCACGTCTCCCCGTCAGTCAGTTCTTTGTACCCAGGTATGTCAGATATGTGAGTGGTGGGCAGATTTGAAAGACAGGCAAAGACACTGGCAAAGCCTGGGCTCCAGATGGCAGGTCCGGAAAAATCTCAGAATCCTTTGTGGTTGCATTTAGATATCAGCGAATTGAAATTCCAAATCCCACTTTCCTAAGTGAGGTCTACTTAATCCTCCCTTCTGAGCATTTTGATGATAAAGACTAGAACTAGGAATGGGGGGATTATCTGGTTTTACATAAAACAAGAACCAATTTATATACCTCAAACCATTCTTGAAACTTCCATATTTCAAACCAACCAGGAAATAAACAGAACAACAACAACCTACTGGGGTTGCTGGGAGCCCACTCCGGTTTCAGACAGCATCACTTGCTCTGATTTGACAGTGTCTCACTGTCATTTCCTGAATCGCAGGGCCCTCAGGATAAGGGTCAGGTAAGGATAAGAACTATTAACTATTTCCTAAAACCAAATGCAACCCTGTAGTCCTGGGGATTTGCCATTACAATTCTTCAGGCTCAAAAAAATAATCATCTTTCTTTCAAAAGACCCAGGTTACCTGACCATGGGACAGTTCTGTCTTTGTACCTGCTGGGATGGATAGCGACCTTTCAGTGGTTATGGTAGTGTGGTCCAGGAGGAGAGAAGGAAGAAAAGGATTAAGGAGGCTTTGGAGGAGGGGAGGGGCAGGGGCAGCTCACCCTGAGGCCAGGGGGAGGAACACTTGAGCATTTCCTGCCAGACACTGGCTAAATATAAGGGGAAGGGGATGGATTATGTAAATACGGGATTAAAACATTTAAATGCACATTATCATTCAGAAGACTAAAGCCATTGAGCTTTTAAGCCTAATGATGAAAACATATCTTGAGAACTTTCTAAGTCTGGAAATAGCCGTGCTAAGGTTAGGGAAGTTGAGTTTGGAAAGAAAGGTTGATTCTCACTGAAAAGCAGTGTTTTCAAAATGTCCAAATTTTAGCTCCTAGTGGCCTCTCGAAAATTCTCTAGCTTCGAATCATTTCCTGCTCCCTCAGTGTATGAGAACCATGTTAAATATTTAGTTTTTAAATAATCCCCGGGCAAGATTGTACATCTGCAAATGAGAAGGTGTGTATTTATATTTTAAAACCAAAATGACTCTTAAATTTTGTGCTTCAAACCAAATTTTAGGTTAATTTTTGGAATTTACAAAATAATAACATACAAGGGTTATGTTTATATACATATGCTAGACTATATTGAAGTATCTATATCTGGGTGTTGGGGTTTTTTTGTATGTGTGTTTTCAACTTATTGGTGGCCAAACTTACATTGCTTGCACATTATAAATTATATTTTAAAACTGGGAGTAGCCCTGGCCTGAGTGGCTCAGTTGGTTAGAGTATCGTCCTGTGTACCAAAAGGTCATGGGTTTGATTCCTGGTCAGAACACATGCTGGCGTTTAGAGTTTGATCTCTGGTGGGAGTGTGTATGGGAAACAACTGATCGATATTCCTCACATTGATGTTCCTCTCCCCCCCCCCCCCCCGCCTTCTCTAAAGTCAATAAAAACATATTCTCTGGTGAGGATTAAAAAAACAAACAAACAAAAAACAACTGGGAGCAAATCATAGCAGTTAATTTCCGGCAGTCAGAAAGCCATGTTCTAATGCTACAATAGCTATGTTGATTGATCCTCAACTGTGACATCAGCCATGGAAATGATGTTGAAGGTCAGTGGCAGCATGATTAGGGGTGAGGATCTATTATCAAAATGTGAATTTGGACCTGGCTATAGTGGCTCAGTGGTCAGAGTATCAGTCTATAGTTCAATTCCCAGTCAAGGGCACTTACCTGGGTTTGATCCCCACCCCTACCCCCCACAGTTGGGGTGCCTGTGGGAGGCAACTGATCCATGTGTCTCTCCCACATCGATGTTTTTCTCTCTCTCTCTCTCCCTCCCTTCTACTCTCTCTAAAAATCAATGGAAAAAAAATGTCCTCTGGTGAGGATTAAAAGGGAAAAAAAGTGAATTTGTTCATAGGCTAACAGCTCTATTACAAACCAAAAGGAAGATTTCTGTTGAACCAAACTAAATTCTCTTTTATATCATAATAAGAAGATCCTCAAAACTTCTCCCTTTTCCTACCCATCAAAAGGGGACTGCTGCAGACATCAAAGACTTTAGATGTGTTTGTCATTCATATAATCACTAAATTTGGCTTTAAACATAAGTGTCTTTGCTCAACCAGTAAAACCAGCAAATACTTTCACACATTGCTGGTTTGGAAAAGATAGCTTGATTACCCCAACGGAAAAGGTCTGCTGGGAGGGAGGCAGCCGGTGCAGCTGCTTGCTGGGTGACTGGCTGTACTTACATCCAGGAGGCCCCGGGCGGCGTCGCTGCTCTCCTTGTTGGCCCTGCACATGGCCTGGTAGTCATAGAGGGTGATTCTGCAGGAGAGAATGGAAAGGAGCTTCAGGAAGTGGGAAAGCACAGAAACCACAGATGCTGTGCTCGGCAAGGTGAACTGTCACTCACACTACATCAGGGTAGCAGTGACGAATGCCAATCAGTGCAGGCCTAGCCAGGACAACAGGACGGCGAAGGGGACCCGGGTTGTGCCACCCACACTGTGCCTTTGGGGATATTGATTTTAAGATGTTTCTTAAGAAACAAAAGACTCAGAAAGAACCTCTGACCCACCTTCTTCCTGCCCAAGGGAATTCAGATGGAAAGGTCAGCTTCGGGAAGGGCATCGGCATTCTCACCTCAGCCTGTGTGCACTGAGTAACAGACGGGAAGGATCTGGGCAGCAGCCTCTGTCCCCTTGTGTCTGGGTTGCCTAGCAGGGATTCGTTTGCCCTGTGTCCTCTCTTTCTCATCTTCCTGTCAATTACCCACCTCCCCTGGGAATTCACAGACCCCCCCCCCCCCCGCCCCCTTCTTCACTGTCGAGAATGGCACATAAACCTCAACCGTCCAATGAGCTTTGGGTCACATTCTTATAGACCCCCGAATATACATGCGCATAATACACTTTGGACAGTTTCTCCTGTGAATCTGCTTCTGTTCATTTAATCATTAGCCCAGCCAGAAGAACTTAGCAGGTGGAGGAAAGTTATAGTTTTTCAGCCCTCACACCAGAAACATGGCAACTTCCAGGACTGGAGACACAGGCATGTTGCTCTTGCATAACCACAGAACCAACTCAAAATGCTCCTCTCCTATTTAATGAGATGCTGAGTTGCTTTTCAGAGACAACAGACCAAAAAAGCACATCATGCAGCTGAAGCAAGCATAGAGGAGAGAACTTTGGCCTCCAGCTGCACTGGAACCAAAGCCCCACCCCCACCCCCCGACCCCATCTCCCAAGAAACCAAAGGGCCAGGACATACTAGTAACCACAACTTGAACCCAGAACTCCTTCAGAAGCAGAGGGTCTGTTGTCTAGGAACGTCCCCTACTGATGCCCCTCACTAGAAGTGGCCAAGCTCCAAGGTCCGCCAATTAAAACTTGCCCTCATACCCTTGAAAACCCACTCTGAACCCTGGAGTTGGTGCTTCCGTTTTCCTGGGTGGCGCCATTCACAATAAAACCGTCCATCTTTCTCCACTGCAATTCTCAGTGGTTAGTGTTTGCCCCTCCTAGTGCTGGGTGGACAAACTCATTTTGGTCTGTGACACTTGGAAATTGAAGAACACAGGGAATAAAGGTATTGGGGTGGTGAGGGGATAGGAGAACCCCCCACACTGATGGGACACTCTGGTTTGTCAAGGGTGCTGTGTGTAAACCAGGATACCCCCCAGGAAATAGGCTGCTCTGAACTGCATTCTGAGCCCCGGACTGAATCCCCTTTGGCCATGTCTCCAAGGTGGAGTGGAGCTTGGAAGGGCCAGCTTGGATTACGGAACATTGGGATCCTCTGTCGCTCTCAGTCACTAGGGGACATGTCTGGACCAACACCAGCCCAGCACTTTGACAATGTGTTGGAAACCATCTGGCCCATTGGTTGTAATTCCCACCCCCTACCACCTCCATAACAGTGAGTATATTCTTACTTTTGAAATCAGTGCTGTTTATGACATAAGTAGACATTTTTTTTCTCCATTGATGATAAAAGCATAGCTTTTGTCCCAATTATGACCTATACTCAGAAGTTCTACTTTACTATTGTTCCAGATGTTTTAATTTCCCACCAACAATTCTACCAAGTACAGGATAATGACGGTTTCTAGTAGCAAGTTAACTGCTATTAGATGGAGCAAACACCCTCTCCCCAAGGAGACGTGCAGCCCATCCTCCCCACAAGCCCCCTCCCCCATGCCAGGCACCCCACAGGAGAGACAGTTAAAGTCCAGCCTGGGTTACACAGCAGCTGCCTGAGACACGTTAGCACCGCAATGCTATGTGAATGTCTACATGACTGCAAGGAATTCGCCCCACAGGAACCTCCTTCCAAAATAATGCAATGCTTTCCACGGAGCATACTCAGTGCTGTGCTGACAGTGAGCGACCAGGCAACTCCCTGGCTTGGGGAAGTCCCCAAACTTCTCACAGCCATCACCAGCAGCCCTGAGGGTGCCCCAGCCACAGAATCGACTGTGGACCACAGTGGACAACCCTAATGGGTCCCTGCCTGGCCCACCGTGCTACAGTTGGCAAACTCGCCCCCGGGCTTTCTACAGGATTTCGCAAGAATTACCGTTGGTTTCATCCTTCTCCTTGGCCCAACCCTGTACGGTGGAGACTTGGGCCGGAGCTGGGGTGAGAGGCAGCAGAGGTTGAGTGGAGCGTGTGAGGGCCTGGGCCTTGGTTTCAGGGGTTGCTTCTGCCATTTATCTGGGGCGGGATCTTGAGCAGGTTGCTTACCCTCTTCTGGGGCTTTATTTTCTCTTATAAAATGACTCGCGGAGATATTCCAGGATTTAAATGATCAGGCACGAGGAAGTATACTGAAATGTGGTGACCTAGCCTGTTACGATCCTTATGACAGAAAGCCTATTTTTTTTTTTCTTTGTTAGCATTTGGGCTCTTAAAACTCCTTTAGATGGAGTAGACACCTTCTGATTCTCAAAGTCCCAAGTGACAGCACTGTGACCTAATTGTTAAAATGCCAGCTTTGAAGTCAGTGACACCAGAGTTCAAATCCTAACTCATCTACTTATTACAACGTTTTGTGTGTGTGTGTGATCTTTTTTTTTTACCTTTCTGGTGCCTCAGTTTCCTCATCTGTAAAGGCTGAGAATCACGGCTACCTTTCAGGGTGGTCACGGTGATTCACTGAGGTTACATGCACTGCAATTAGCACAGTGCACAATACAGAGGAATCGTCCGGGAGAGGACAGGGCTGCTGTGATATACTTGCATGGTGTTCACTGCCATTATTAATTACTGGGGCTGGTGTTTAAAGCGATGGGAATTGACTCAGGCTTTTTCCAGCTGGTGGGAGGATGGACAGGCCTCCTCATGACAGGGTATAAAATTCACACGTCACTGCAGTGCCAGGCAACCCAAGAAGCTGTGTGGGGTCATCAAGAGGTGACACAGGAACTTCTGCTCCTGAGCCTCTTAGCTGAGGGTTAGGAGAACAACAGCCAGTATCTTTTGAGCCTCTTTTGAGCCACCACGAGCGAGGTACTCTTCTAAACCCTGCAAAATAGATTCCTAACCAGCCCATTTCTCAGAGATGCAAGCCAAACCTCAGCCAGCCTAGCCACTTGCCGGGGTTCACCTACCTCACCTGTGGCAGGGCCAGAATCAGATGGGGGCCCAGCTATACCCACCTCGCTCTGCTCAGCAGCAGGCTCTGACAGGTTCCAGGAAATGCTTGGAATTCAGTCCTGTGCCCCATCCCAGAGTCTCTGGAATGTCACATGAAGTGCTGCCCAAGATAAGGTCTCCTTACCAATGTCCAGAGTCAACTTTCAAACCCCAGCTGAGGGACTGTGGTGGGGTCACTGGGCCAGGCCGGACCAGCTGGCCTGCCGGGGAGAGCCCTTGCCTTGGCAACCGCCCTGACAGGCAGATGGCAGGAAGCTCAGGGTTCTCCCGGGATCACTTTCAAAGGCCATAGTTTACATGTCGGGGCCAAAGGCAATTGCTCTGGGGCAGCCTCCCGGCCAGGGTTCCCGCCTTTCATTTCTCCAGGCAGCTCTCCGGATCCCGGACCCCGGATCCCGTGGCCATCCAGGAGGTCACAAAACCAGCCTCCCCTGCCTTCTCCACACTTAGCCAGCTTTAACTAGATGTTACAGAAAGAGAGACTTCCAGATTATTACCCTTTTTGAAGTGATTCTGTTAGTTTTAAATGACTCCATTTTGTGGCTACCTGTATCCTGTTCGGCTGATTATAGTTAAAGAACATGATAATTGCTTGCTTTCATTTGGCTCTAAAATAAGCCCAGAGCACTGGGCCCAGCCCAAGCGTGGTGCTGCTTTGCTGCCCTCAGCAGGGGAGTTTATCCTCAGACAGATAACATGCCTGAATCCCCATGACATCACCGGCAGCCCCTTCAACCGCGGCCTGCAGCCCCAGACCTTATCACCAGCATCGCTGGGCTCCCAGCCGGGTTGCTTTGAAACTGTGACGGAAGGCAGATACGGTCTGTGAAGAAGAAACTCAAAGCCAGGCAAACAGCCTGGGCACCCAATGCTCGGGCACCAGGTGAGCCTCAGGCGACGGCCCACGGCCTTACGACTTGTTTTCAACTCCTTTGCTGATTCTGCTCTTTTCCCACTAGACAAACACCACGACCAAGAAAAATATTTCTTCTAGGAACTAGACGGTCGAGTTGCAAAGGCTCATGCTCAGCTACTTTAGGCTTGTTAGCAACTGTAGAACTGGCATTTATGAAACATCTACTATGTGCCCAGGAGGCCAGGTACTTTACCTGTAATGACTCAGGGGGTTAGCTCACTTTGGCTAACTGGTTACCTAAACACCAATCTGGAATTAGCTTAATGTTTGCAAATACAGCCCTAAAAGCAGGACAGGGAGGCATTTGACACAGAGACCCGCCGTGGGGCGACTTTCAGCCATTCGGAATCTAAAGTTACGAGAAGCAAAGTGACTCACTGGGGTAGCGTGTGAAACGACGTATTCTTTGTCGAGCTGTGAAATGCGTTCTCTGGGGCTGCTTTCGACTTACCAGTGGTGGGCATGGAGCAGGAACAGAAAGGGGCTGGGGCCACGGAAGCCTTCTTGCTCTTGACCTCTCTGAAAGCCAGGGGAGTGGGAAGCCCAGTCTTGTGATTCGAGGGCCAAACAGGTGCTCTGCCTGCTCCCCTCCTGGCAGCGGTCACCACGTCCTCAGAGCACGCCCTGTCCTTGAGGACCAGCAGAGCACGGCCAACAGCAGAGGTGCTGAGTGTGCACAGCCAGCCCCGCTGCCGTGAACGCTGAGACTGGAAATCACTAAAACAAATCTGGTGTGAGCACCTGTCATTAGC